GGGGCGTACCAATTGACAAATCATTTGCAAGCAGTTTTCTCAGTTGCAGCGGGTTGCTGGCATTCTTTTTTTTTAATTTTACTTTATAGCACATGCAAGCGGAACTTGCAGGTGCTTGGAAATTTGTACAATAACGATTTGTCACTTGGTACGCCTCTGGAAGTTTCCTTATCAATTGGAAAGAATGCAATTTCCATTTTCTTGTTGGTAAAATTACTGTAAAGGAGAATGTGCCAGCAACCCACTGTCTTTGATGTTTTGTTGTTTGGTAGTTTTTAAGTTAACATTTTCTTGGGGGCTAAATGGTATGATGAATTACCTAATTACATATTGACCTCTGGTAAGCATATATCAGTATTGCGAGAACAAGCTAAGTAACATAATTAAATTTTAATTACGTGATTTATTTATTAACAATTAATTAATAATGAATTTAGAACAGTCCACAAATAGTTTGATTTGCAGATGTTAGTTATTATTTATCACTTACTTCTAGTCAAATTGTTAACATGTTAAAATGTGGATTAGAACAAATGAGTACAAAATCATTGCTCATCAATTCAGTCTCGATGTTAGAACTCCTATCACACACTATTCAACCTTGCTTATATACATAGTAAACGGAAGTTTCTAGAGAATACTTGCGAAATACATCTCATAAAAAATACGTGGCATCCGCTTTTATCCCTTATCGCCGGGGACTAATCTTTTATCGACTTGATGGCGCCTCGATCGCGGCTGGATAATTCGCTACAATATTTAACTCATTTCCTATTTTTCCTTTAAAATATGTTCTGTTTTTGCTATATTTGTTGCATTGTAGAAGAGTTGTAAAAATGCGGCACTGTTAAAGGGAAAAAAGGCCGCCGTAGTCACAAGTTTGTAAACAAGTAAATAAGTTTGGACAATATAAACTTTTAGCATTCAAGATATAACAACTCAGCTGAACAACTACGAAGTTTTAATAACTTATAACGACTGACATGAATTTGTGGGTATGAATACTAATCATATATGCCTGTACTACGTTTGTGTATCAAGTTATAACAGTTTTAGAACTTATTTGATTTCAATTTACTTGTGCAGAGTGAACATAAAGAAAGGTGGCATGCTTAAACAACAAAACACACATTGTTCATAAGAATCGGTAGCCAATATTGAAGCGTCTGGCAAAAATGAACCTGGTTTTTGCGTAGCGACTACAGCTAATAGTTGAAGGTACATTATACGCTGAATTACAGTTAAACTATCTCTCTCTTGTACACTCTTTGTTCCACTACTCCTTTCTTTTTTCTCTCCCATCCCCCTCTTTTCAAGTTATTGCTTTCTTAATCCTCCTCTGTATCCCCCCTACCCTTTATTGTAAATGACTTCCTCTCACACACAAAAGTGAAAGTGTCTGAAGGATTTTTTTAAACTTGACTCGTAGCTTTCCAAAGAAAGAGAGACTCTGCCTCGTTATAGCAATGGAAATTAGCTTAAGGTGGCGTTTACATTGAAAAATTGAACATTTCTTTCCACAATAACTGCCTTTTGGGGCAAAATTGTTGGTTGCACAACAACATTAACAAAAGCTAAAGTGTAAAAAAACGGATGGTTTAATGTCTCCTGTGAAGAGAATAATGTTCAATAAATCACGCAATGGCCAACTTTCCTGGTAATAAAAGCTTACCTTGTCTGTAATTTGTACACCTGAAAATCAGACTTGGTTTATTGTATTTGAATTTGTTATTTCAATGTCTATTTCCCTTTTAGAGTTGTTTGTAATTGTGTATTATTTTCTTTTTCTCAAAGTTGATCGGTTTTTGTAAATTGTTCATATGGATTTGTGTATTTAATTGTGGACCGTGAAATTGCGTGTTGAGACATCTGGTCGGTTGTGATAAGAAGTATTGTAATCTTGAGGACGGAGATCATCTTATCGTGGAAGTAGTGTTCCTTAAAATACTGGAATGAACGTAGAAACGAGTTCGTCAGCTTCGAAATAAAGTGTGCAGAAGAAGTTAAGCGATTTTAATAAAAGGTTTAAGGTATCGTAAAGTCAAGTAGTTAAAGTTTATGGAAAGCTTTAAAATGGTTTGTTCCGCATTCAGAAAAAATTAGTACGACTGGGAGCTTAGTAAAGTTAGAAGTTTCTACCATTCGGGAGCCACCGAAAATTGTTTCATCTTATTTATCAAGCCAGTTCGATTCATCGAGTTCATTTTATTAAAGAAGTGAAGTTTCTTGGAGCTCTCAGCGAATGTGTTTGTGTCTTTGGTAAGTGCGCCTGAGTATCGTACTATTTTCACGATCCGATTATTCGGATTCTTAGGTAAAGAACTGTAATTTAGGTTTTCTTATTTGGAATTATCGAACGACCGCGCAAGGGGTATTATGTCCAAATCGGCTTTGTAATTGGGCGCAAGCCTGTTGAGGGCCCAGAACAAGAGAGTAAATAATAAATAAATAAATAAGTGAGGTTTGCTTTCTTTTAGGGATTTTGTTTTAATTGTTTCATGTGCTTCGGCATGCATTTCTGTCCCTGTCCACCAATTAATTGTGTGTTTATTCGAATTTTTTGTGCCACCTGGATAGAGTCTTCATGTCGGATTTTTTATTCGCGTGCAAGATTTATTTCAGGTGTTAATTAAAATTTGTGTAATAAATCCTTTAGAATTTTCGGAAGTTGAGCGAGTCTTTCAAATTGTAAAAAAATTAAGTCAACATTAGGATTTTTCTTCTGGCAGATCCAAATTCTTTATATTGCTAAATTTGAATTTTTATTAAGGTTAGTTTACAAAGACCGTGGCCACGAATTTAATTTAATTATTTTAAATTCCCTAGTGGAAATTTCGAATAAGAGAATTGGAATTGGATTTTTACGCCAATATATTCGAAATTTTATGTTCAGTTGGTGTTCAATTTTGCAATCAAGCAAGTTAGAAGACAGATTTTTAAGTCAAGTTTAAGGAAAATTGAATGTTAAAGTTCCCTTAGCAAAGCGGACGACCTAAAGCTTTTTAATAAAGTCCAATCCCCAAGTGACTGTTTAAATATTCAAGAGGACATTAACTCAGTAATTAAGTGGTGTATCAAAAATAAACTAAAACTAAATATCAATAAGTGTAAAGTCCTTACTTTTACTAGATCGAAGAATCCCTTACTTTTTGACTATAAGATGAATGGAAAGGTCTTACTACGAGTCACCTCCGTTAAGGACCTGGGCGTGTTTTTCAATACCAACCTTAACTTCAACTTACACATTGAATACCTAACAAATGAGTGTTACAAACTTCTTGGTTTCGTTATCAGAAATACACTCAATTTCACGAATATACAGACAATGCTAACCTTATATAATGCGTTTATTAGATCTAAGCTTGAGTATGCTGCATGTATCTGGTCTCCGCAAACTCTCAAATACTCAGACATGATCGAAAAAGTGCAGAAAAAGTTCATCCGAGTAATGTTTTTTAGGTCAACCCAAAATTATCCACATTTGATCTCTTACGGTACCCAGCTTAATTACTTAAATAGTACTTTCGGCTTAAATATAATGAGGTTAGAAACCCGACGGTACATTGCCTCCACAATTTTTGTCTTCAAAATTTTACACAATTTGTTATACTCTTCCGAATTACTTCAAGAAATTAAGTTTAAGGTACCATTTGTTAAGCTAAGGCAAAATAATACTATTTTTGTAGTTAACAACACAACTTCCCCACTTATTAAGATCTTGATCACTTTAAATAAGTTATCCTCAGTTAATGATATCGACTTTTTTCACGATCCCCTAAATTCAATAATAAATAAAATTAGATCTTAAGCCCTAATATTTGTTCAGAGCCCCAGTGCCATGTAATTGGAATTTTTATTCTGTATGGTTTCTGGTTAAATAAATAAATAAATAAAGCCTGAATTCAACCCCCTTCAACCCTGTTGCGCTAAATCGAAGCATCGAGGAGGAGGGGGGTAACGGCGGCTGTAAAACTTTATATCTTTATTACATTACATTAGAATAAAAGCGTATAACCAAATACCTTAATATACTAATAAATTGATATACTTACAAATATATTAAGGTATTATTCAGCTTAATTAAAGTAAAATTAAGAGGTCTTAAAAAATTTAAATTAAACACAGGCTGCAATCGTATACCAGTAGTACGTTTGAAATGTTATGTGAAATTTGAAATTAGTACAAATTCAGAGCTTCGCGCATTGTAAAACGGTTTTGCTGGAATATCAATCATTTTAACCTCGGGAGGTAAGAAGGCGGTGTAAGGGTAGCTATCTCGTTAAGGAAGCATTAGAAGAACGGCCCGATAAGCGGATAAGCTTACGGATGGTAGTTTGCATACAATTCCATATGATCAGAAAAACACATTTTCATTGCGGGTTCGAGCGAAACGTTTTATATCGCAAAGCCCATGTTTCTTTTGACATTTTTCAACCATTACTCTCCAAATGAAATTATTCCATTATCGCACAATTCGAAGTTTTGAATGTCAATTGGCTTTAGAGCTTACACGAACTTTTCTTAATTTAGTCGCAAAGTAGGTAGTCCACAACTAACTATTTTGGTACAAAAAAGGAAATTAGCAAAATTACATCGGTAAGCACTTTAATGAGCACAACTTTCAAACTTATTTTGTCATAACGTATTCACCAAACGAAAATGGCTTTTATTTTAGGGTAGCCAGCTCATATAGTCCCCATTATACAACTTCAAAAGATTTGAGAGTACTGAAAAGTTTTAATGCCTTTAAATTAAGTTATGCGGGCGAAAATTGACGTACAAAACGTAAATCTTTTGGTTAACGAAGTTATAACAGTAAACAATGTTAACTCTCTCGCTCATTCTTATAAATACTCCTTCCACCTAGGCATTATATTTTGCAATACACCGAAGTGCCATAAATTTGTCTACGTTTGTAGACTCGTGTATAACTGTTTTGTTGGATATATTTTGGTTTTGTTTGTTTTTCTAGGCGGCTAATGCTAACATACGTTTCCCTAATTTTTTCAGTGCTAAAACAACTTTCGCGTCTTATAAATCGCGTTGCGCAAATAATCGATTCGATTTTATTCAGTTCGGCGTGTCTTTATAGATTTCAATTATGGACTGTGGTTAGCATCAAAGGGAGAATGTCAACGTGGTGCACGATAAAAGGTGAGAACTCAATTAAAACTTTGTTAAACGCTTTTCGGATGTAATTTCCTTACGCGATCCGACAATCACAAAGAATGACATACTCAACAAGGGAAGCACATAAGAGGAACACCTCCGAAAGCTTGTTTACCTAATGGTTCAATTTAATAAAGCGGTTAACAGTCGATACGTAGGCAGCTTTTATACCAAGCTCCTCGCAGATGTTGTCGAATCAAGAAGATTTTGTGACACTCAACAAAGAGCAGTGCAAATTTAAGGTTAAGATTTGAATTGAAGTTTAACTTTAACCATTCTGCAACTTTTCTGGATACTTTTCCTAAATGTAGAATTTATTTAACTTTGAGAATTGAGAATAGATGTCTTAATGCGCAGACGATGAATTGAGAAAACACAAGGGACATCTTATCCGCGAAACTTCTTCCTCTTCAGTACCCTCTGTGAAGGTAAATGCAGAATATGTAATTTAAAGAATGAAATTTTCAGTTAGGTAGGGACAAAGGTACAAAACGTAAATGGCTGTGCCATAACAATTTTTCCTCAGCGCCACCATGGGAAAAAGAAAGGTTTTACTTAGCCCATCCTTCTTTCTTTCTTTATTTCAAACCCAAGCTACAACATATCGAATTATTAATATTATATTATTATATATCTATAATATTAATTTAAAAACGTTACGGTTACGGACACAACCATTTTGCCTCAAACCCACCAAGGAAAAGAGGAAGGTTCTTCCTCGCCTATCCTAATCGAGATGCATCCTTTTCCATTTTGATACCTAAGATAACAGATACAAATTAATTTAGTAAAAGGTGATGGTTCTGAGTAATAATTTGGTCTGATCAAATAGATTTTTTATAATTTCTCCACGTACACAAAGAAAAGACCCAATATTGATTTGGAAGAGTATTGACCAACTTCCAAAAATTCCAAAGGATTAACTACACAAACTCATTAACACCTGACACAATTGTTGGACACGAGAAGAAAATTCTGACATGAAAACTCTATCCGGGGCGCACAAAGGATTCGAATAAACATAGAATTGATTGACAATGGCAAAAATTTAGTAGAAAACACATGAAATGTAAACTTAAAATACAATTCCTGAAAGGAAAGCTTACAAAGCATGTTTAGACAAATTACTCCGCACGGAGGGAGTAGATAGTGAAAATAAGAAATCTTAAAATTACTGTTTTGCACACATTGTACACATATTCTTTGACATAAAAAAGCATAACCGGGCAGATGTGCGGGTGGTATCTAACTAGCCACATAGGACTTTCTGACGCAAGCTGATTTAAGATATTTGTCACAATAAAATCGTGATTACATGATTTAAAGTTACGGATTCGTATACGAGAATGAAATGGAATTTCGAAAACTAAGCATTCACTTGAAACTAAATTGTGTCTTTTGTTTGAGTTTTCATTTAATCGCTTTTATTGATGGGATTCATGTTATTAATGTCCTCAATAATTGGAAATTGTGTAACTGCCAATTATGTGCCTAACCAATCGAAAACAATTTTTTGTGGTTTTAGAGGAATTAATTTTTAATTTTAATGCAAGGGAGATTTCATGTTCTGTTCCTTACAATAAAAAAATTACAATTTTGATTTTTAAGACTAATGGTATAAAGCACATTGTACGACATACCGATTTTACATTGTTTGGTTCTTGTGTTTTTCCAGTTATATTTAGTTACATCGATTATTACCATGTCATTCTCTTATTTCTATGTTACTCAATTATGTTTAAGAACACTCAATTCAAATTAGTTAACTATGTCATGAGAATTACAAAATACAAGTATTATATACATATTACATATACCTAACAAGCGTAAACTATTATAAAAATAAGCATTAAAAATTATTATAAACCACATATTTTATCTTACAACGTAGGTAAAGTTTGAAAGGTTAATATCAAGGTGTGAGTTAGAGCAGATGCAATCTAAGTTACGACGCTTGTTTAAATCAGGGATTTATAATTATAGAACAATAGTACCTGAAGGGTTAATGTGAAATGTATGAAAATTTCGTGAGATAGGGACCAGAAAATCTAGTTGACTTAAAAAGTTTGAGGCAGTATGATTGAACTTCAAATTTACATACCGACATAGTTTTTCATGATCTATCGAAAGAAAATATTACCATGATTATTTCACTTCCGGTTTTACCAGAAATGGATAGCAACTTTCTTATTTTAAATACAGGAACCTGTATTTTTATTGCATTTTCGAAATCTACATGAAAATCTACATCGTTTGATACCACATTTTCCTATACCGACCATCAAAGGTTTTTAAGTGATTGAAGGTTTTCCAAATTTTTTTACGTTTGACTGTTTTCCTTTTGAGTCCTCTACCTGTGACTCCGTTGAGTTCAATTTTCAAAAAGTCTTTCAAAATCACCAATACGGACTTGCTGCTACATGAGAATGACTTAAATTTTGATCGCCCTTCTACAGGGTGGTCAATTTTACCAACTTCAAACGTAAAAAGTTGATTTTTGTAATGACACCTGCTTAATTATTTTGCAGTTTCAAGCTGACTGTTATGCATAATTTTGTTAGGAGGCCTTTAAGTAAATGCCGTTAGTAGATGCCAGTGTACCATTCTTGGAAACATTATCTGGGGAAAACCACTGGTTTCAACTTGACGGAGCGCCCATGGTACTTAAATGTCTTTGCCGAACATTTTTAAAGCCCGGTGGATTGGGCCCAGAGGCCCGTGGCATTGGTCTCTTAGATCTCCAGTTATCACGTCACTTCACTTTTATGTGTGGTGGGGGGTGTCATATATAAAAAACTATGTTTATTTCACACCAGTTAGTTTCTCGTGAAGAACTGGAATTTATGGTGGGAAGGGCTTTTGATGAAATCGATGCAGTAGGAATTCGAGAGGCGACTACCAACGGAGTTCATCAGAGTATGTTACTATTAATGATGGGAAATTACACGTTTTTTTAAGTGCGTAATATTACGTGTAAAATTACCAATTGTTTATGTTTTTTATGGTGTTTTATGTAATTTATGTAACTTACTATTTTTTTTTAAACCGTACCTACTTTTACAGTAAAATTACCAGTAATTTATGTTTTTTACGTAATGTACAAATATTTTTGTAAAATTACCTGTCATTTATGTTTTTTATGTTTTTTTTTAATGTCTGACTTTTGAGTCTACTTACCCTACAAACCTTCACTTCAACACCACCCAAGGCCGAAAGGAAAAAACCTTTTTAATTTTTTTTTAATATTCCATAAACCTTTTTGAATTTTGTGAGTGTTTGAAAACAAAAACACTTGTTAAATTATACAGTTCTTGATATCTAAATATCGAAACTGGTTTGCAATATAGGACCCAACTTATACAAGAAGTCGTATGTTTCAGAGCGCATATGAGTAAATGCAATGAAATTTTGAGGAGGCTGTATAGAGGGTAGATACTGATTTTTCGTAAAATTATTAGCATTCTTGTCCGCAAAGTCATTAATAATGCTTGCCAAATAAAATTAATTTCATTGACTGATCTGAATTCATTCAATACAAAGTTGAGTCTATCTCATTTTACACTCAAATACGCCTCAATAAAACTGAAATGACTATAAATGTTGTTTGCGTATTTCTGTTTGGAATCCACCCAATAAACGACTAGTATAGCTTGGAATTTCATAATTGCATATTGACAATAACACGACCTCGATCATGTCGATGTTAAAATAACTTCACTGATTTATTAACAAGCTTAACCGACAGAGCAAATTTCCCCAACACTCCTCAATGCATTTTTTACGGAAATACGCAACATTTTATAAATCAAATGCGGGCACAACATTTCAAAACAAAACCCGCCGTCTCTTTCAATTCTTATAATTGGATTCAACTTTAATAATAACCCTACTATTTCTAACCCAGTTTGTAAACCTCTAAGAGGGTTACGTAATAAAATTATTATTTTTGATACAGATTTATTTTTGGCGTACGACTAAATCAAACAAATTCAATTTGTAAATTTATGGAACGGCGCGGTCCTATATTTTAGAGCGCTATGAATTTTAATGGAATATTATAAAAACAGTAAGGCATGACTGATTTATTATTATAAAGTGTAAATTACGACATGAATAGAACATGATTTTGTTCTAAATTAGATACTTCACACCATATTCATATATCTGATAGGCCTTTTTAAGGCCCCTCGGGGTTAAACAACAAATTATTTTACAAAAGTACGGAAGCCTTACGAAACTATTTCATATAAAATGCGCTACATAAAGTAGCTTAATTTTAAAAGTTGCATCCTCTCATTCTGGGGGTTATGAAAAGTGCAGTTTCAAATATTGGGTAAAAATCATTTCTTGTGTTATTTGCATGCTTAAAATTTAAACAGTTTGGTTTGAATAATTATGGTAGGAATATGAATATGGTCATATCTCGAAGAATTTGTCACCCTTTTAAATCCTAAAAAAGCCCTAAACTAAAATCGATGAGAGTATAACGTTACCCCTGTGTTTCCAACTAGGTATATGAGTTTTATGGTTTTGAATAGAGTAATGTATCTTTCATAATCTTGACTGATTCAATTTTATTGTGCACTTTAAGTTAACCTCTCATTTAATAACAGGAAGGATACTTCATACAATGTATACACATTTTTTTACTGAAGACATGCAAGGAAAGGTAAACAACTTGCTTTATATCAGTTTTGTTTCCGTCAATTTTTTCCTTTGTTGACAGATGATTCACAGATACAAAGTATCAGTGAAGCGGAAGACGCTTGCTCTTAGGAAGGATATTCGTTTCTTGTGAAACGACGAATGCAACAATAAATCACTGTTTTTATAGAGTATGCAAAGAGATTAATTTTATTTCATTTTTGACGTGTCCTTATATAGTTGTACTATTAAAAAGTCAACTTGTTGGTTTATTAATGCTTGTTTAGTTGGTTTCACAGTTTAGATAAATTTATAGCTACTGTATTTACTACCGACATGTGCATTTAAAGTTACCTACCTTCAATGATTAATGTGTAAATAATTTTCGACGTAACCACTTGAGTGCTGTTGAAGTAAAGCGGGAATATTGCCAAAAAAAAATTGCTAATACCCCACTTCTGAAAGTAAATTCAAATAATTATTTCGCTTTTACATTTTTACATCATGAACAATTTGTAAATCAAGTGGTGGGTTCGTTTGTAATTAGCTGTCCCCTGTGGATACAATTGTAACAGACAAAAAGTGTACGACCAATAGAGAAACAGGCGAAGTTTATGAGAAGGAAAATGCTGTCCCTGATTATCACGCCGTATACCTTACACACCCTCGCATGTTCCACCTCTGAACATTTCGTCATTTCGTGACATTATATAAACCCTCAAAACTAGCAACTTATAAGTGTTTTCAACACTAAAAAACTATGGAGTTCGTACTGAGTAAACACCTAGAAAGCCTCGTTTCATCTGAAGATGGAAATATAACCTCTGCAGCTACGATAGAGGAACTAATTCCACAGCCACCTGGAGAGAATTTAATATTTGAGCAGTTATTTGAGACGATTTTGAACCAAGTCCTAAATACATCCCGTTGTAGGGCTCGCAATGGTATTGTGTTTTGATACCTACAAAGATAAGTCAACACTGCGGAATCCCGAAATAGAAGTTCATATCCAGGAACACTTTTCAAGAATATTAAAGGTTTAAACAAAATCACAAAATGGACACGTTGTCTACAGGGTGGTGACAGTAAAAATAAATTCTTGTCCTTCCTGACAGCTCGCGTTTCTAATGACACAGATGTGGTGTTGGTTTTAACCCTGCTATGTGCAATGGCAAATGGTCTAAATAATTTTAATCAAAACAACCTTTAAATTTAGAATTGTAATTATTTTCTTAGTAGGAGTCCGGGCTTCTTTCACAATAAAATATCTCATTGACTTTAAACTAATAATTTGAGAGACTCAGTAACCTCGATCAACTTTCAAGAAATAACTACACAAGTTTTCACTAATACGTGACAGGAATAGAAAAGTCTGACATGACAACTCTATCTGGGTCGCACTTTGGGTTCTATTAAACACACAGTTAATTAATTGACAAAGACAAACATTTCTTCTTTAAAACATAAAGCATTCATGCCACGCACGCAGTCGTTCGACAGACAATAAAATTAAAAAATGGTGGTTATGAAATAGTCCAATCAATCAGGTCGTAACTAATTTGCGATATTCAGGCGCACTAAAACTGACACACAAACGATGAACGCACCAGGAGCATCACTTCTGTTGAAGTTTAGTGGATTTCGAGAACCGACACGTTTTGAAACATTTCCCTCGAACTTTTACTACTTCACTTGACGATGTATGAACTTATATTCGGATTACTTGACTCATTTTGCACACTTTATTACAATACTTGGGAATTAAGTTTTCTCAAACCGAGGCTGGCTGCTCGAAAAATGTATGTACACGCTCTCTCGCAAAAAAACAAGGAAATACCGTCTTTGCGTTGTCTCCAGTATTTAAGGAAACGCCACTTCAACCATGAAACAGTTCTTAATGAATTTTCATATAAATCTCCAATTACAATTAGAACCGGCAAATGCCGGCGCAATGCGCCAAACGTCTCCACATGAAACGCGTAATTCTTCGTAACGCCTGCATCTCCTTAGTAGCGAAAGAACGCGTGCGTTAATTAAATTTGGCCCGACAATAAAACAAAAAAACGTTATATAAAACACGCAAATTTGACCAGATGTATCTTACTTCTAACACAAATTTTTAAAAGGAGAAACAAATACGGAAATAAAAATTCAAGTGAAATAATCGCTCTTTGTGTTTATTCGTAGATAACCCGCCAGATTTGTAAATGAAATTCTTTCACATGCATAGTGGTCCATTATTACTGATGGCACTAAGGTGAAAATAACGTCTGCACGACGTTTACACAACAATATATCACCTAACATCAAAAAAGAGAACAACTCTGTATAAAATGCGGAACTAGTCGCCTAATTAGATTAATTAATTAACCTCTTTGTTTTATCACGATGAGTTTTAATATCAGTTTATTTAATTGCGGTTTGATTTTCAAAACAGTTCTCCGACTCGAAAATGTTCCTTCGCGTAATTTTTATCGCTTGTAAATAAAAGGTCTTGGTACGAATCATATCAGGCTGCTTAGAAGTTCGCTCTGATCCTTGAAATCGAATCGCGAGGATCTTTCTTAGACCCTAGCTAAAAATGCCGACAGCGAAATAATTGTTTCACACACCGTGGTGGATCCTGAAGTTAACACGGAACCCTTTTGTAATGACGCGAAATAAACCGACAATAATATAAATTAGCGTACCTAAATTGACACTGGACCGCACTTGTACCTTCTATAAGAGTGTAATTTCGTGTAACTAGCGTAGTACATGACCGCTCGCGATAACCACCTCTTTCACTATTTGAATCTCGACAATAAGTTTCTTGTTATCGTTTGTGATCGCCAGACATACTCTAGTTTACGTTCGCTCTGAAGCGGCATACGTATAAATTTAGAAAAACACAAATTTAAAAGAAACACTTTTTGAAAACAGTTGGTTTTATCAAAAAAGTAGTTATAAAAAAATTTGCAACACACCTACAGAGCTTTCATTTAAAAAAAAGAATAATGAAATCGGATCAACCCCTGGATTAACCGTTCCAGAGACATATAAAACGCCCTCTTGGATTGGCCGCCATTTCTAGAGCTATCAGTTTGAGATGGCAATGGCAATGATGGAATCAAAAAAAGAGAAAAAAAATAATGACCTATTGTAACATTTAAAAAATTAAAGATGGCGGTGGCAATCAAAACCCAAGAGTAAAAAAAATTAACTTAAAAAAATGTGAAATAATTTCAAATGTACGCGTTCTAATTTTCATGTCTATATCTCAAACGGTTTGGGGGTGAGAGCTTTAATTCCATCTTTAATAGTGACCCTGTGTGGGCCTAACCGAGGGTCTAACTATGGTCAATTGATCGTTTCTGCGTCGCCAACCCACGAAATCATATCCTTGTTTCTATTGTCTGTTTATGAATGATGTAATGATAGTGAACTATTGATAATTATTGTATAAACCCACCATTATATTTGGCTAGACAGGTATGACGCAAAGAAGGAAAATGCACCGAAATTATGTGAATTTTAGGCGATACTTTTGTATCCGTAAAAACGTTCGATTGACATCATTCTCCAGAGAATCGTACCCTAAAGTTAAAAAAAAAGTTAAAACAAGCAATAGAACAGGATAAGGAAGACTAAATCAAACTGAATGTACCTATAAAAAGTAGAAAATGTGTAATTTTTACTAAAGAATGAGAAATGCGGAGTTTTCCTGAACTCGACGTTCTCCAAAAGTTTATATGCAAATTAATCGCGTAATCTTGTTGCAGAAAGTGCGGGCGAGGATGAAGAAGAGGAGCGTCGGGGGTCGGTGCCTCGCGGGCTACCCGGAGGCACCGACACTTACATTGATATGCCTCGAAGTGATTTGCCTTCCACAAACACCAACCTTTTAGAGAAGCCAATGGTTGACAAAAAAGTTAAGGTGAGTGTCAACAACGTTTAGTTTAGTTTATAGGCAAAGAGTAATGGTTACTCTTTGGTTTAGGAACCGTACGAATACAGCCTGTATAAAGTACTAATCAATATTAATGTTCCATTATCTAATCCAATTTGATTACGAAACGATTTTTCATGTCAGACCTCTCACGAGATGAAAAATGTTTCATAATTCAATTTCTTATTAAAGAAGTAAAGGCTTCATAACGTTTGTTGGGGCTGTCGCGATCTGTGCATCATGTCGGTATCAAAAGTTTGTGCTTTGTGCTTTCATGAGTTGATTGTGTGAGTAATTTTCGTATCATTTTGATAAGCGCAAATTCGAGGGTAGTAAAATTGCGAGCGGAATCGGATAATGAACCGATACCGTGTCTTGTAAATGAACGACAGTGGCGAAACAAAGTACATACCTAGAGGTATGGTATATATAGAAATCCAATTTTAACAAAAACATTTGCATGTGATCGAGATCCGTACTTGACAGCTGTTTTGTTTTTTTACTTTTACTGAATTTTCATTTCTCTGTTGCTTTTCGATTTACAGAAATACGCAAATTAATCTCCCATCAAATAAAAAAATGGAATTGAGTACGCATTTTGAAAAAGGATTCTTGAGTAGAGGTTAAATCAGAACGCATTATTAGTGCCTTTTTTTGCACCGAAAAAAAACTTGTCTCAGATCGTCCCGGAAACAAATTTTACTTATAGAACGTGGCCTGTAGAATCCATAATTTCAAACAGTTCCAAGATTGAGCTACTAGTTCAAAAGTTACAGCCCTTTGAATTTTCTTTCGAAATTGGTTTCTAGAAAAAGTACGAATTGTTTTGGATTCTACGCACCAAAATTAACAAGAAAAAGTGTTTTCCCGAGAAATTTTGGTGTAGTCGATTTTTGGTAAAAAAGGAACTATGCGAAGTATTCGAATACTTCTCAAAGTATTCACATACCTTGCGAAGTATTCGAATACTTAATGCACTAATGACATGAATAATCTATTCCCCACCTTCCATTTTCTATGACATACTCAAATTCGTTCTGAACGTGAAAACTCGAAAACTTGAAAATGTCACCGCAGACATATAAGAAGCTGAAGAGGTGGGCGTTTGGTGGCATTTTAAAATTAATCATCCATTGGAGTTTAAGTGGTAGCTCATCAGTCAAACCCTTAATCGCCACTCACCCGTCTTCACAAGAAGTTAATGACTTTACTCGACGTGCTTTTTGTGTTCCACACTTCGTTTGTGGCTGATACAATGAACATATGCTTTGAGGAACCACAGTCAATTTAAAAAGGATTTTTTTAACTAACTACGTGAAAAGTGAATAAACTATTTCATTATTACAGAGACATTCCATACACGGCATGATGGAGGAAGAAAATGTGATACGACCCCACCAAGAAATGGCACAACTATCCTTAGATGAGAAAAAGTTCCTGCTAGCGGTAGAACGCGGTGATGTTGCCTCAACTAGACGGTATGTATCTATCTCCCTTATTTTTTCCCCCTCGTAAATGACGTTCACAGCTCAATATGAATGTGAACATGACGTGTCGTAATAGAAACAAGTTGGAAATTGATCTCCTTGTATTTCATAGAGAAAGTATCTAACATCAATCTATCACATCAAGATTCACTAGAAAAAGGTGGCCAGTTATAAATCAAAATAATTATAACAATTAGTAGTGTCCAAATTGGATTCTTAGGGCATTAAAGCTGAAAATGCCATGTGGTAGATGTTGCACTATGTACACCATATCATTTTGTACATATTCCCATTTGTTGACGTTATTCACGCCACATATTGTTGGAAATTCATTAAATTTGATTGATTTGAAGTACATACACGTTTATTGAGTGACCCCATTATCTGTCATTCTCGCATCAAGTTTTCTGGGAACACTTTATATCCTTAGCTTGTTTGTTGTCTTTTGTGTTACTCTTGCAGCGATAAATCAGTATGGAGGGGTATGTAATTATTCGTATTTATCTAAACGGACGGGCGCCACGTATAAAACTGAATAAATACGCGCGAGCAGGGGAAAATCCCGTTCCAAAGTCACGGAGAACGACGCGACGCTTTAAACTTATTTTTCACTTGAAGCACCTCGAATAAATTATAGGTGATCCGTTTTCGTCAGTCCTTGCTATAAGTTTTAACTAAAAGGTCGCGGTTCCGACAAACTTCCGAAAGAAGTTCTTTGCCGAATTAATTTCAAACAACCATTATTCAATGAAACCCTAACCAAATGCCTACTGAAAAACAAATTTATTTGGGCTCTGAGAGCAAGAAGTTTTAATGAACTTTACTTATCTAAATAATCTCAATGAGTTTTTCATAACGAATAATAAACCTTTTTCGTTTTCCTTTCGTTTATTGCAATGTGTTTGGTAATTACGTTATTACGTTTTGGTTGGGCGTGGAAAAACTCGGAACTTCCATCCCACGTGCTTAATTAAAATGTTGAAGTAAGTTGGATGAAGTTAGATGTTTCGACGAAATGTAATCATCTAGCTGAATGGAAAGTAATTATTAAGAAAAAGTTTACCTTACAATGAAATGTTAAATTTACATATTCTGAGGGAATAATTAATTTATACCTAGAGTGAGGGTATTGGAGTTAAAAATAGCAACGGAAAGGTGCTCTTTTCAGAGGAGGAATTCCCCTGGTGGGACAACCTCAACCAAAATAGCGATTGAATCTACCGATGTGGACGTCCAGCGCATCGCTCCTGCCATCCTCCCTTCACCAGCTCTTACGCCGCTTCCGGCACAGTCATTCAAGACACCAGCCCCCAATCGACCAACACCGCCCCCACCGAAAGGCCAGCAGACGAAGAGACGGAAAAGGACTACCGACTCCACCGACACGTCTGACATGGGCACTCGTAATGAGACCACCACCAGCATCCGTACATTGCCTCCCCAACACCCCCAATTGCCGCAACCTAGCTGGCGGCAACAGGAAGCAACGCAGAAAAGGACGAGATTCGGAGCTGGTCAACATAGTCGTCGTAGGAAATGGAGCCCGCATCATCGCCGATAGCCCGGACGAGTTCCGCGTGATTCAGGGTTACTTGCGGAAGAACCAGATGGAATTCCACACGTACGCGCTGCTATCGGAGAGAGAGCTGAAGGTCGTAATCCGGGTACTAGCAACCTGCCGGGCGCGTCCAAGATATACGAGATCACGGAAATGCTCGACCTCTGTCGCCTGAAGGTAGAAGCTTTCCGCACCAGCCGCTAAGTACCTCAGTGTTTCGTGTGCCAAATATTCGGTCACTCTAGCGTCAACTGCGGATTTGCACCCCGATGCGTTCGTTGCGCCAAAAATCAGCTGGCCTCAAACTGCAAGAGAAGTCAAGAGGAAAGGGCCACTTGTGCAAACTGTTCTGGATTCTGGATGTTGTGAGATGAACCTTAGGACTATGGAAGGGAAGGCGGCTCTAATCGTAGCCATGTCCGGCCAGGATTCCCCCAACAACTGTGAGGTTGTCCGTATGGGAACCATCCTCTCTTCTGAGGCTAGCTGAGATGAAAAGGATCGCGAGATACCGAGAAGGTGGATTCTGTAGAGCTACAGAAATCCTTCCATGCCTGACGCCTTCTAATGTCCTTCTTGTATAGCCTTAGGTTTGCCTTATAGGCTCTCCAGTCGGCTGCAACTTTGCTCTTCCTTGCCTTATTAAACAGTTTGCCCAATTGGAGCGCCCTGCACCACCAAGGATGGTTATAGGGCGTCTTGGCAGTTCTCAGAGGACACGCCTGTTCAAATGACTCCACAATAGAGTTGGTAAGGAGATCTACTTCGCCCTGTATGTCGGCAGGATCAGAGAGACGTCCCCCGGAGGGGTGCTCTCTAAGTTTTTCTCCAAGGAGATGTTTGTAAAGGGGAATATCCGTTACCTTGGTGTTGCGATAGCACTTTTGGACGGTTCCTTTGCAGTCAATTTCAAATAAAATTAATCTATGATCTGACATAGCCGCTTCAGAAGTGACTTGCCACTTTGCCAGTTCTTTATATGATCAGAGATACTCGATGATGCCAGACTGACCTGTCTGCAGTTCACAGAATCCGGGCGATTATCCAGCACACACACGGGGCTAGTCACTGCTTGCGGTTTTCGGAGATTTGCACACCGCAATAGCGAGAACAAGGTAACCCACCACCACCCTGCATCCCAACGGATTACGTACAAAGACAGTACAACTCAAACACATCCTCAGAACCACAACGTAGACTCGCGTCAGGGAGTACGAGGTCGACGTCCGGGATTGGAGCTCCGATCATCTTCCCACATCATCATGAAGGCGTCCGTAACCATACTCCCGATCACACGGAAGGTCACCAACTGGAAGAAATTTAACGAACATCTCCAGATGGGCCTACCATCCGGAGACCAGGACATCCGCACCACTGCAGACCTAGATGAAAAGGTGCAGATCCTGGCGACCAAACTTTAACAGTCCTTAGGCGCGGCCACCAAACGATTCAATTCCCTCCGTATCTCAATGACGAGATTAGAGAGAAAAGGAGACTTGTTCGGAGATGCCAACTCATCCGAGATCCTGATATAAAGAGGCAGGTCAATGCCAAACAAGTCGCCCTAAAAATTGCCATTCGGGACTTCAATAACAAATCCTGGAACGAGCACGTCGAGGAAACCATAACCCGGTGCGGAAACGTCTTCCAAATCGGTCGTGCTCTTGCCTTCAGGAAACCGCCGGCGTATGCCCTGAAAGCCCCAACGGTCATCGCTACGACGCAAGGGAAAAGACAGAGCTCCTCACTGGAACCCTTTGAGTGATCTTCACCCCGTACCCTGTCCAAGACGAAGAGCACAATCGACAAGTGGAAGAAGAGCGTTCTCGAAAAGTACCAGAGCCGACGGCATATCCCGAGCGCTGCAGAACATCACACGCCCAACCCTCCCCTACATCACGACACATTTTAAGGCCGCGATAGCGTTAGGGGATTGTGATAATCTACCGAAGCCCGGAAAAGCTCTAGCCGAACCCCTGAAGCCATATCTCCCCTACAAGCCTGGGGAAGGTTTGGAAAGTACTGCGGCGAAACTGCAACCAAAACATTAGCCCTGAACAGTTCGGTTTCGCAGGAACATTCGACATCCGCTTGGTAGACACAACGAATACTAGTCTCATAAAAAGGGGTTGAAATCCGGGTGCTTTGGAGAAGAGTATCGGAAACTGTCTGCGCGGAGAATCTGCGTAAACCAAACATGCCCCAACGTCAACACGAATCGAGCTCATTATTTCCAAATACAACAATAAGGACCAACGCTACGTTGGACAAGCCGTTGTTGGTTAGTATCGAAGACCCAGGTTTCAATATTGACAACGACGGCCGCGGAGTTAAGGATGAACGGAAGAAAGACTCATCTGCAACGCGTAAGAAAAGGCCAATAGGAATACAATTGTCAAACGCACTAAAAATGGACCTGTCACAAACGCCGCGATAGCGTTAGGGGATTGTGATAATGGTACCGAAGCCCGGAAAACCTCTAGCCGAACCCGAGAGCTATCGACCCATATCTCTCCTACCAGCCCTGGGGAAGGTGTTTGGAAGAGTCCTGTTGGCGAAACTGGAACCAAACATAAGCCGTGAACAGTTCGGGTTTCGCAGAGAACATTCGACAACGTTACAAATCATCTGCTTGGTAGACACCGTTGCCGTTGTCACAGTGGCTGCGTCGTTTGAAAACGAATTTGGCAAAGTATGGACGGCAGACCTGCTAGTTAAGATGCATCGCACTCAAAACATACCCACCTCGTTCACCAGGCGACTTCTCCACTGCTACATTTCGAATCGAACCTTCCGGGTCAGAATAGATCAGCTGTCGGAAGAAACACCTGCCGCTGCGGGATTGCCATAAGAAGGCATATCGCCAGCGTTATTCAACATACACGTAAACGACATTCCACAAGCCCCCAACACAATGTCCTCGTCTACTCGAGGTCAATATTTCCGGATACAACAATAAGAAGAGTACAGGCGGTAATAGACCAAACGCTACGTTGGACAAGCCGTTGGCGAACTAAACAGAGTACAAATCGACCAGCGACTAACAAAAATAATTAGCTGCCAATTCGGATTCCGGCTTCATAAACGAAACTTCTTCAATCTTTAATCTCACATTGAACGAAACCTTTCGATGCTGGCTGTGGATTCAAATGAATGGCCGTAATTCAACGATGGAACTAGCAAGAACCCCCGGTTTTTCTGTTGACGTCTTATTTAAGGCGAATCCCTTCTTCCGATAATAAAAATTACGACAACCAATCATACACAGTTGACAACAAAGAGAGAAACAAAACTATCCCCTCAACGCACGATATTATGCCAACAAAAATAGAGGTCGATTATTTTTCTAAATCAATTTATCAGACATTAAGAGATAAATCCAAACTTAAATTCTAGGAAAAATAAAATTTGATCTTTCTTAAACTACACAGAAAAAGGCGATAAATCACATCTACGTGTAAACATTTACATTTAATAACAGATAAAGACCCAAAAATTCCCAGAACTTTTCCACGTTTAAATAAAATGTAAATAAAAACAACCTTGACCGCTTTCTCGTATAACATAATAATCTCCCTGCCGTTACATAGACCAACAACAGGTAATAAAATTTAATTAGGAATATTAATTATACAAAAAGGAACCTTAATTAGGATTTTCGAAAATTTCATCTTGCGGGACGAAATAAACACAGTAATACATACCTCAGAGTGTTGCGATAAGATTTCTGTTTATAATAACAAATAGTTAATGCATTAACCGCAATTATGCAAACATAGTTTAAACATTGAACCCCCACATCCATTCATTTTTTACATTTCGCAAATCAACCAATAAATCAGAAGGGTTTTCCTAATAGGTACATACTTTTATCATTTAAACAAATCAAAAACTAAATATTCTCAAAAATAATTGCAAGAATTACTGAACAACCTGTTCCAGAAACTTCTCTGCTAAAAGATCTTAAGGCACTAAGACTGATTACAAACCCAAAAGTAATTTGTGTAAAGTGGCATATTTGTTAGAGTATTTTAAACTAAAGCCAAACCGTTTCTAAACATCAAATCCAGTTCCATACATTGTGATCATTTACAAACAACGCTCCCAAATGCAAAGATACGCGGAGGTATGCAAAATTATTGCTACAATGTAGATATATAAAATTACATCACAAAGTGAGGAATTTATAGATTTTATAGACATATTTTAGTTTCCCCCTAAATTTTATGGGAAGTTTGTCTATAGTTTTACATAATCGCATGTTGGCTCCAAGAGAGAAATTGGGTGGAAAAGAAAACATCGATAACCGATCCATTCTTTCAAAGTAGTCGACCTAAAAATGTATACCTTGTCCTCGTCGCCAAGATACAACTCTCATCGAGGACAATAATGCATTATTTACCCTTTGTGTTATTTGTTTCCTTCTCGAATTTTCTTGGATTATTCTAACATCATCTTTAAGTGTACATATGATACGTATCTACCATATGCATTTAGACGATTCCGTGAATTAGGATTGGGAAAACTCATCAAATATAAACAAGCATCAATCGATTGAAACAACTCGTGCTTATCTTGACATGCATATTGTGCAATGTTGTCTTAGTTACAGCATTCAGTTTGGCTCTATTTATTTTCGTAAAAAAAAAGGAAACTGTGCAGATTACTCCGTAAATAAATTATTGCCTGGAATTATTAAAGTCATTGGAATTTATGGGATATTTCCCCGTTCCCAAAATAATCCCTCTAACAATTAAAGTTTCTAATTTACGACACCACTCGAAACGTTTTTATCAAATCATAATAAATTAATGGCGTTATAAACTTTTAATTTCAGGATGCTTCAGCGCGCTCAAGAAACAGACTACATTAATATTAACTGTGTAGATCCATTAGGCAGAAGCGCTCTACTTATGGCAATAGATAACGAAAATTTAGAAATGGTGGAACTTCTTATAGAGCACAAAGTCGAGACGAAGGACGCCCTGCTGCACGCCATATCCGAAGAGTTCGTCGAAGCCGTTGAGGTTTTATTAGATCACGAAGAGACTATTCATAAGCCCGAGGAACCGCACGTAAGTACCTATATTGCGGAATATTTTAAAATGCAGCTCTAGGTTTGTATAATGAAAAAAAATACCTTTCAAAGGAGGACAGCGCGTAGCTTTATAAGTTTTGCAAAATGAATTCTACGGCTACAAAGAGAATTGCAAATTGCGGACCACGCATACATAAAAAGGTTGTTCAAGTAATATTTTATACAAGGTTGGGTGAAGGGATTTGAAAAAAATCGATTTGATTCGGAAGGATCAATTTGTAATCGTCATTTTTGTTAATGTGTGGCATTATATGAGTTATAAAAATGCCAGAGAGTATTATGTGAAATCATCATTGCACTCTCGAATAAATGCTGAAGACTAGCCTTGTCTGACCATGCTTTTATCAGATGCTACTGTTAATATTTCCAGGAAATTTGTCTACAATGAATAAAATCTGCGATTCGTTGGTTGATACGAACGGTCTATGTGTTATGTGTCCATCTGTTCAGTTCGTGCAGTGAGGTACATACGAGGGCGAATTGAAAAGTAAGGGTCATGCCATTTACGAACGCGAGTTGCTAAGCGAAATTTAACAACAGCTCTGCATTCCTAGGTTTCCCCACCACAGTGTAGAATCATGTGCGAGATGTTTGGACGCTCACTCACTGCGTAGCAGTCGATTAGGAGGGAGCTCCCTTTTAGCTCGGCCGCCAACTGCGCCCAGTTATTCGATTTTTGAATTCAAAATGGTTTCTCCGATAGACATTCATCACCAGTTAGTGGAATTGTGCCGGGAGTTTTCTGAGGGCCAGGAAAACGTCAACGATAAGTAGCGGTCGCGGCTCGAATTGACAAGGTGGTACGCAATAACTGGAGAATAGCCCTTCATGTGATAAGGGAAGGTATTAATGAAGAGTGTGGTTACTTCTCCGTGCAGAATACTGTATCAGAGGTCCCTCAAAGTGTCCCCTAGGTGGGCCCCTAAGTAGTTCACCGATGAACACAAAAGAAAGCACACGGAAGATGCCACAGAATTTCTCGGCCGCTATGAGGAAGAGGGCGAAGAGTTTCTGGATTCGATTGTGACTGGAGACGAAATTTGGGCATCATTGCACCCTGCAAACGAAGGATCAATCGAAACTAGACTTCACCAAGTCCAAAAAGATCAAGACACAGAGGTAATCGGGACAGGAAAGGGGTTCTGTTGGAAAGCTACTGCGAGACTCTCAAGAAAGTTCGGCGAGCCATCCAAAACAAAAAAAGGGGTAGGCTCACCAAAGGAGTGTGTTTGCACCATGACAATGCGCGTCCACATGTGCCACATAAATCGACTACCCTACTCAAAGGATTCGGATATCATCGACCACGCTTCGAACAGCCCAGACGTTGCCCCCACGACTACCACATGTATCCCGCTCTCAAAAAACACCTTGGGGGACAGATATTCCTTACTTTTCAATACGTCCTCGTATTATGACTTCCTGTCCCTCCTCTTCGAGAGTACATCCCGCGATGTTGCCAAGTAGTCCGTCTGTTTCCATTGTACACTTGATCAATGGACCCAGATTATATCAGTGGTGAATGTTTTCCGACCATTATAACAAAGAAATGATGCGAGAGAGGTGTTCAACAGGTTCGATATTGGTCATGCAGGAGTAACAGTCTCGTATCAGAAATTTAAAAAAATACACCCGTTGACGGTGGCACAATAAAACAAGTTTGGTTTCTGTCAATTAGATTTTACACTGACCTCTTTTTGATTTGATACAATATTATACAAGGTGCCCCAAATTTGAGATGACTATTTTTTGAAATGGCAGCACTAATTTTTTATGACTTAATGAGTATATCAAGTTACACATGTGTGCGAAATTTCAAATTTGTACGAGTATTCTTGTCTAATTTGTCGACTGTGAAAAACAGTCAACACAACAGTGGAATGACTAATATCTACTTCCCCCCTCAAACGCGCCGAATGCGATTACCATTCTGGTAAGAGGTTATAATGGTACATCAATGATAAACCAATACCTTTTGGCATTCCACTTTTGTTAAATATTTTCTCAGCGACAAGAAATCAAAATTTGAAATTTGGCACACATATTGTGTAACTTGATTTACTATTTAAGAATAGGCATAAAAAATTAGGGTTGCTATTTAAAAAAAAATAGTCATCTCAAATTTGGGGCTCCCTGTATAAAATTACATTACATCAAAAGGAGCGCAGTTTAAAATACTGCTGTGTGCAATGGCAAAATATGACTAAACCATCCAACATTTGTCCAGTTAGCTCAAATAAATAAAGGCACTCACCAAAACAATTAACATGAATCCCTTAAAATCCTATTTCCTTTGGAATTATGGATTTTTGATCAATTTACCATGAACTAAATGAAAAAAAAACAGATAACGAACGACATCACAAACTCCGCTGCAGCCCCCATGGATCTTATCTTCATCCCATATTTTTTTTCTCGTGTTTTTCCATTCTACTCCCTATAGCTTCTATTAATAAATCATACATTCATTTTCTTATTCAATTCCGCATTTTTTTTTCAATTCCTTACTCGATTGCGCCACCAATTCTCTTATTTCGTCAATTGACTGGATAAGCGCGGCCAAAATGCCCTTCCTGTAGGGTCATTAATTCCATTGCAAACACCTCTCCTTTCTCCTCAGGTACGTTCTCGGTGCTAACTTCCGTTGATATTTCGATTCCAGTTTCGGGCCTTTGAATGCACATTGTTTATTAAAATAATCTTGTATTTAAACCTACCATTAATTAACTCTAACTTGAATTTAAAAGATCAAAATTTTCTAAGTGTCCCACCATACATGCCAAAAATTATGCTGGGTCCCCACGTTGGGCGCCAAAATTAATGCTGTGTGCAATGGCCACTAAGTCACCCACAAAACACCTGTCAAGCTATCTGAAATACACACTTATAAAGGTCATTAATATAAAACTCTTAAAATCCTAGGTCGTAACTTGGGCTCATTCTAATACGAAACTGTTCTTTAACACAAAACCTAACAAAAATTTTTGTATGAAATATCGACATTCAGGGCCAGAAACACATACCACGCTACAAGTGCTCGATCGAAACAGGTTAAATAAAGTCTTAATTACCTTGCAAAGTTAATAATCCAGTTTTACACTCCATTTTCCCAAATTGCGAATTCGCCTCGGAATTTCAACTAATAACTCGACTATTCCGTTTAACATCACGTACTTAAAATCTTTTAATTTACTAATTAACTATCTTCAATAAACTTTACTAACCGGTAACTATTTGACTTTGTAAAAACACATGCCTCCTCGTACATCCCAAAAAACTGTAATATGCCGCGGGAAAAATCACGACTTCACACACACGGCCAAAAGCGAAAGGCCAAAGTTCACAAGTCCCGTTACAACGCTTCATCTTCCATTTAAAACCACTCCATTTCTTGTCGCATCTTCGATTCCACTTCCTTCTATCTTGTTAACCTTCCTGCTACGACCGTAGTTGAATCACTAAAAGACACTAAGAGGGGTACATACGTACCCCAATATTAATTGGCATTTAATATTTATTTGGGTTCAATTTGTTATCTGCTGGCTGTTACTCTACCCTACAGTTTTTTTTAATGATTAACAAAGGTTGGTAATCAACCGCAGGTATTCGATTACATGCACCTGCAAAGAAATAGGTATAACAAAATTGTTTCAAGTAAACAATTTTTAAGGTACCGTCTGCATCCGCCATTTTTTTTTCCAAAATAACTGAAAAACCATAAATGGTAGATATGTGGATATCAAAAGAACTGAAATTTCATGTAGAATCCAAAAATGCAATAAAAAATAGGAGTTGCTATTTAACATCACTAACTTACTAGTCACTTCCGGTATTTCCGAAAGTTCCACCATTTTGAAAATATTTTCCGTCAATTCGGCTTTCACAGTAACTCCTAAGTACAAATTTTCAAAAACCTACCTGTTTCACTTTCCCAGAAACGTTTAACTCATCTCCCAAAAAACACCCTGTATATTTACGCGCATTTAAAACACACCTTAATTCTGTTTTCAGAGTTGGGAAGCCTTACCGCCAGACACAGCTACCTTCACTCCAGATATAACTCCATTAATCCTCTCCGCTCATAGAGATAATTACGAAATAATAAAAATTCTTCTAGATCGTGGCGCAACCCTTCCAATGCCTCACGATGTCAGGTAAGAACTATCAGTACTACAGAAGTTCAGTCTTCCGGTATCTAGCAATCTCCTTTAATCATCATAAAGTATGGATAACTAATAATTATACCTTTTGTTTGCTTTTAAGCCAGACATGCTTTCTTGAAAACAAGCTCTCGATCTCTTACATGTCTTACATAACGATTAGTAGCTAATATTCTAGTAATCACATTTTTATCATGACGGTATCTAATAGCTTGTTTGCTCCATCGTTTGAGAGGCAACATTCCAATCTTTCTTATGGAGAAGGAATTCGTGGCAAAATGACATTGACCATTTTTAAATGTTCACTGGTAAAGGGTCACCACAGATAAATTATCTGTGGGGTCACCCTTCATCATATACGAACTTTTTTGGTAAATTTTCCGGAAACAAGTTTACTGTGGGAAGGGAGGGGTACACATGTTTGTATGCCAGGTTGGTAATAGGTATACCTAATAAAAATTTATGATGGAGTTGGTTGTTGTGAAATTAGTCTATCCCATTTAAAAATTATTATTTGTAATAGCATTAGGTACAATGTGCAAAATTACAAAGTAAAAGCTGTAGTCCACCGATTGTTTGGTCGTCTCTTGTAAATGACAAAATATTGTCGAATTGAATGTTGAGCTCCTGGGGATCAGCCTTCCTTGCTTCAAAATTAATACATAATTTTAGTTTCTAAATGTCAATGGTGCCTTTGAAATTTTCAACAAATTTTTTTGCATACTAGTCAAGTGCCCTTTGGGGACGAGATACGCAAAATTGTTCAGCATGAAAAACTGAGTAAGTGCAGGCCTTCTTGCTGTTTTGGGTGGCTATTCAAATATATTTTTCTGAAACTACTTTCGTCTCTAAAAAGGGTGAAAGAAATGTGATTTTCCTCTCTAGTGAGGAAAGTAAAATCAATTGCTGCGTTAATCTTAATAATACATACCAGCATCTAGATTGCTATGTGTCAAACTTCATTATTGCCTACAATAATTTTTCGATATTGATTGCAGTTTCAGAAAAAAAAATATGTGTAAAACTTGAGAAGAAAGTATTTTTCAACTCTCGTTCAATACACACTCGCTACGCTCATGTGTCAAACTTTGAACTTGAGTTGAACAACTTCACTTTCTTCTGTAGTTGTACAAATAATTATTTTTGGTTTCTGGGGTGTTCCAAAGATCCAAATTTAGCAATCTCCCAGACATTGTTTTCAGAGATCGTCTCGAGATCCATAGAAGTAATTTAAAAATTGTTAAGACAATCACTAAAATTTTTAGAACTACTGGTGCGACTTTTCAGGGTTTAGAGACCGAGGCTACTGAGCGAACTCGACTCACTAATCTATTATTTAATAGAGTCACTATATTTAAGTGCTCGATATAACCCGGAAACGATTCCATTTGAATTATAAACTTTGCTTAAAATTGAAGGAATAAAAATGTCTAATACTATACAGGGTGTTCTCTTAAAAAAATGGAATTTTGGTGTGCCAAGCCTTTATGACCAACCCTGCACAAAGAAAGTTATTACTACCTAGTAGACATTGAAGTTCCCCAAAGCTTTTGTATAAAGCTTTTTTCGATATCTTGGATAAGTTCCCCGATAATCGACCGTTTCCATACTTTTTAGTGACGCAATAGGTAACGTATTGTGTGGCAGAGTACAGTTTCTAAAACATCTAGAACAATTCCAAAAGCATTCGATTTGATTTTGATATAAAATACCATACAGCTAGTAGGTTTAGTACAAAGTGCAAGAAATAATAGGGGGTAAGATATACAATTCCCGATAAAACTGGGAGTCATTTCGCAATATGCACTTAAACTAGGTAGGTATGTATTTAAGCAAAGTATAGCAAAGTGCAAACCGACGCCGATGGTAGTTTATTCATATTATGCAAAACCAATTCGATAAGGTATGGAATCCTCGCCCCGAAGCAAACGTTGCAGCATAAATCCCTTGCATCTATTCACATTACAAGCAGGATTTAATCTGCCGTTTAAGAATCTCTCATCTCATTTGCTGACCACTCATGCAATCAAGTCGCAAATATATTCCGACAAGTACCTACCCATAATGAATGCAACTGTTTTAAAGATGCCCCGTGGGATTTAACTAAAAATTTCTCCGTCATCAAGTTTAATAAAGCGTTTCGGATCAGTCCACTATAAATTCGTATGTATATGGAAATCAGTTTGCTTTAATCCTGCCGGGACACTCATATAAGGGAAGTCTGTCATGCTATATGCCGTTATGAAATTGGTCTCCCCAAATAATTTCTATAAAAGTTAATGCTAAGCGTTCCCTGTAGAAAAGTATGGCTATAAGCGGTTCAATTTGTATTTAATCATCTTTCTAAACTAAGATTAATTTTGTGCGGTCTGATTTTAATTTACTATTAACCGATTCCCTTTCTACATACAAATGGAATGTGATTAACCGAGATTGCGAAGTTTGTAAAGTTTCAATCTGACTATCATTATAAATGCACGAATTCAATCCTCTTGCACCCGCAAGGTTTGAAGACTCCGAAATAAGGATACTCAAAAATAAATGTTTATAGGTGTGGTTGTGATGAATGTGTTACATCCAGAATGGAAGACTCCTTGAGGCACTCACGTTCTCGCATAAATGCATATCGAGCTCTAGCTTCTCCATCCCTTATTGCTCTCTCATCCAAAGATCCGATTCTCACCGCTTTCGAATTATCCTGGGAGCTGCGGAGGTAAGAATTTTGCTTAAAATTATCTAGGGACATTTTCCAAATTTATCGTTTATTATATTCGCTTCAGAGTTTACGTGTTCGCGTGACTTGAAAAATACACTCATGATGCGTTTCTCCTCAGATTAAGTTTTATGGAACACGAATTCAAGACTGAATACCAAGAGTTGAGAAAACAGTGTCAAGATTTCGCAACGGCGCTTTTGGATCACACTCGAAGTTCGTACGAGTTAGAAGTTCTACTCAATCACGATCCTACTGGACCAGCATTCGAACACGGAGAGCGAATGCATCTCAATAGACTGAAATTAGCTATCAAATTACGTCAAAAAAAGGTAAGAGATATTATTTAGTGTTTGTTCTTTGTATCGTTACCACTTGCCAGCTGAAATCTTAGTGAAAATTGCCATAAAGCGTTTTCCGCTTTTCATTAAAAAATATTACCTATTAGGTCAAAGATAAAGAAGTTTTAATAGAAATTTCATCGTTTGTCGGTGATGATGTCACCTCGTACAAAATGCATAATTTTGTAATAAGGGTTAATCGCGGCTACTACGCAAAGCTGCATAAGAATTACTTGCTGGTTTGAGACCCTTGAGAGTAGTGATTATAAAACAATAATTAGCGCCTAACCAATATCCTTTACTTGACTATCAGAGCTCCCCATTTTGATCTAATCACATGGATCATTTTTGTCGCTGCGTAGAGCTGAAGAGCTTTTACTACTGATACCCAAGTGGAGTTATTGCCAGGCCTGACGAACGCATACCTCAACGAAAAGGTAGATGGTTTCAAATATAAACTACCCTTGAAAATACCTACAAATAGCGGTTATTACAGGTTTTTGCACCTATACTTTAATATCAATGTTGAAACGATTTCAATGGAATTGGTTTTAAACCTGGTTTTAAATATTAGTATTGGACAAATTAGTGTGTTCTACGTAGTTTACTTTGTATAACGTACAATATTCTATGTCCTTTATCAATTATCAAAGGCTCTGTTTCACACAAATATAAAAAATGTAGACACTGTAAATATTTGCATTAGGTATCATAAAATTTAATAAAACAGTACTATTAAGACAACAAAAATCCACAATTGCGCGTAATACGTTGTTATGATCCCTTGTATGTTGCGCAACGTAATTACTCTTGATGCCATACAAACCAAGCATCTGGACCCTGATCTGGACTGAAACCTTTATTGGGGGCGTTAATCACTCAAACTGTGATTATAACCATGAAGTTAAATCTTAAATGGGACTTCGATCCGAGATTATTTCCATCTCTGAGCTGCCCACAATGAATATTTAAATTAATGTTCATTCAGAGTATTGTTTTATTAATTTCTTCCACTCCTTAGAACCACCTACATGTTCAAATATCTCGACAAATAAGAGATAGCAACACAGTTCCGTATTAAAAGCGTTTATTGTAGACTAAAACGTATATCGCACGCATAAAATGTCCGGCGGATTATACTATATTCTTGTAAGAATATTATGCGTTTATTATTTCTTATTGATATACGATTTATATGCGTATTAGAAAGTGGTGTTATATACGTTTATCAAACGAATGCAAAAAAACGGTTATTTATATACGTAATATTATCAATGTCTAAGTAATTTTCTCACAACGATTACCATTCGCCTCCATTTGGAGAATTCAATATAACACTATGGACAACACCTACAGTACAGAAGGGAGATACAAGTAGGTTCATTTTATGAAAGTGTACTGAGAATTGTTTTAAGTTTGATGATTTCCTTGCGCGTTGGAAGTTATAACAGCAAACAAAGTGTCAACATGGTACTCATCGCGTGCGGGCCGTGGAATCCAGCACCAAGGAAGAGGAATCCAGTGAACTGATTCGAAAATTCATAGAAAGTGATCAGCGTTTATCCAAGAAGAAGAAATTGCGATGTTGGGCTTGCGGCAAGGCTAGACATCCAAGAGAAATTGCTCCCATTCTGCAGAGGCTAGTAGAAGTAACCAGGAGAACTAGAGAGAGTCAATACAAAGTAGCAAACCTCGACTCGCAGTAATCATATCCTGCGTACTATTCGATTTGTCTTTTTAAAACACCAGAAATACAGTTTATATGGGGATGGAGCCGTTATTGGGAAATGTTGTTCATTGTTAGTGGACACCGGTACGACAAGACCAGTAGTGCGACCCGACCTTGTGAAGAATAAGAAACTGATACCATCCACCCTTAAGCTCAAGACTGCAATTGGTGATCGTGCAGCTGTACGGAAAGGGATCGTATGACGTTAGTATTCAAAACCCTTAAACATCAAGTGCTGGTGGCCGATATCGTGGATGAGATGATCTTAGGGATGGATTTTATGAAAAAAATTGGATTTTCTATAGATTTGAGGAATGTCGGTAATGGCGAAGGTCTAGTTCGCCAAGAAGTTGATAAAAAGGTCTACGTAACACTTCCTGAAGACGTTATTGTGCCCGAAGGGAGTGAGAAAGTTGTACTATGAATGGCGGTACACGGGGCACGTACACTGGTCTCCTAGAACTCAATCACAATGACAACCAACTTAGTCGCACAGTTCTGGTGGCTAAAGTGATGATCGATAATAGACGAAAACCTCCGTAAAACAATTAGGAGTATTATGTTGAAGAAAGGTTCGTGAGTTCGATGTGTGGAAATCACCGGTAGTCACCCTGAATCAAGATGCCTTGAAAATATGTGATGCATCAAATCGAATAAATATCAAAGAATCATGGCACAGCTGATTCACAGCTATCAAGATGTTTTCCTCAAAAAAAGGGCTAATTCCCCAAGGATCAATTCTTGGTCCCTTGTTGTATACTATATATACATGTAATTTCGGTAGCTGTTTACGACAATGCAGATATAATTTATACGCGGATGACACCCAACTGCATCACACATTTCACGAAAATGATATTGGCACTGCAATCTATGCTATTAATAAAGATGTGGAGTGTTTAGTTGAATTTTCCAAATCGCATGGGTTAAACATCAATCCTAACAAAACTACAGTCTTGCTTTTTGGGAAAGACAAAGTTAAACAAAGAGTAGCTAGCCGTATTTCAAATGCAATTCTTGTTAAAGGTGTCAATATTCAGATTTCGGATGTCGCTAAAAATCTTGGATTGATGATGGACTCTAAGTTAAGATTTTCAGATCACATTTCCTTGTGCATAAAGAAAGCTATTTGAAATCTTAAACTAATTTATAACCAAAGAAACTTTTTAAACAGTAAAACTAAAATGCTTCTTTGTGAATCGCTAGTTTTGTCCCAATTTAATTTCTGTGATGCTGTGTATGGGCCCTGTCTTGATAGTGCTACCGAAAAAAGGATTCAAAAATACAAAATTCTTGCTTACGGTTAATTTTTGGCATTCGTAAGTATGAATCAGTTGAGTACAAGTTGTTGGAAACGAATTGGTTGAACAAATGAACATGTATAACAGAAGAAGGCTACATGCAGCATGTTTATATCACCAGATAATTACTACCAAAACTCCCTCGTATCTCTATAATAAAATACAGTTCTCAGCACAACTTCATGATTTCTATTTAAGAAATAAAAGTTTACTCATTATACCTAACCATAAATCGCAGCTATACAAGCGATCTTTTTCATATAATATTGCGAAGTATTATAATCAGTTACCTGATTCGTTTAAAACCTTAGCCTCTGATCATTTTAAGCTACATGTACGCCATTTCCTAATTAGCAGACAGTAATTTACTCTCATCTTGGGATTAAGTGGTAGAACAGTCGCCTAATTTTGGCAAGACTGAACTTCGTCCCTTTGGACACTCCTTTTCTTCTTTTTTTTTAAATTGTTTTCTTGTTTTGTAATTATATATTATTGAGGTGGAAGTATGTCCAATAAATGGCTTATTATTATTATTATTATTATGAGTAAAACCAACACGTCACCCATAAAATCAACACTGGAACTGCTGATTAAGCAAAGCCTGAGGAGACTATCATGGATTAAACGGAAAGAAACCGAAAAGATCACAGAGGATATGGCGCAACAAGGAATCATTGAACCGTCTACCAGTCAGTGAACGTCAGTCGTGGTGTTGGTGAAAAAAAAAGATTGCTCCACACAATTTTGTATACACTACTGACTATTGAATAAAGTATAAAGAATGACAGTTACCCGTTATTAAGAATCGATAGGACTTTAGATACTCTTATCTGAACTAATTGCGTTTTAACGTTGGATATGAAGAGCGGATACTGGCGAGAAAAGATTGCGTTTAGGTTCGGGTTTATGGCAGTTGAAAGTTATGCCGTTTGAGTTATACAACCCTTCGATTTGAACACCTAATGGAATTGATATTTAGAGGGCTGTCATGGAAAGCTCTTTTGGTGTACCAAGATGACATTATAGTAACTGGGTGTAAGTTCGATGAGAACCTTAAGAACTTGGGAGACATTTTTTAAAGGTCCGAAGTGCCAACTTTCAACTAAGTACGAAAAAATGTAATCTCCACCCACAATCTAATGGGATGGTCGAAAGAATTGGGGTAGTATTTGCATTTGTTTTTAATGGTGAATTGATCAGCAGTACATGAAAACATGGGACAAACTCCGCCATCGGAACTCTGGTAGGTTATCTATAGGAAATGTTATTTTTCCCATAGGTACTAAGTAACGCAAAATAACGTTTTTTTGGTAGAGAAACTGCACATTAAGTTTGACGTTTCTGATACGTCACAGGGCTGAATAACGTAAACACATACCACAGGACTACAGTGCGTCCTAATTAAAAACACACACCTTAGTAGGTACTTAATATACTATTATTAACCATAGAAGTTTCATAGGCTTCCTGGATCCCAAAAAATGCAATTTAAGAAAAAGTGAATTGCTTGGTCCACGATTCGATGAATACATTTCTTATTTATCAGAGGTCAAAATCTGTACGGGTGTAGATAAAAAAATAGGAAGACCCTTTGGGTATCACTTTGATGCGGGTTGATATTGGGAGCCAAAGAACTTTCTCTATTGCTATATACTCCAAGTTGACATGATTATCGGATTTGAACCCACACTTCAACGAAAAGGTAGGTAATCTTTCAACGTTTGAAATAAAACCAAATAATTAGCAGTTATCTATGTCTAGTGTACCTACTTAAATCGGATAACGTGAAGTATTTTCCTCGTGAACAAGTACAACCTGTTTAAATTTTAATAAGAAATTTGGGAAAACCATTGTTTCCACACTTAATCTTCAATAATAAAGTTGGAGCACGATCTCCAACAATACGAACAAACTGAGTAAACGTTAATTTAATTTAAAATTAGATGTAGTAATGATTCACA